TATCAGCATATAGTTGAAAGAACACACCTGTGTTTTCTGTAATCTTTATGAAATGACTTTTTAGTTTCTATTTAGTTTGGACAATATCATTTCTAAGTCCTCTCCAGCTGTGAGATCTGTGGTTATTTAATTATTCCCATATGAGATTAAAAAAAAAAAAAATTCAAGTTTTTCTTGAATAAAAGGACAGTTATCTTCCAGGGATTTATCTCTAATTGTATACGTGGTTAGGTGAAAATGATGCTATAAATATAGGTGTATTTGGTTAGTACAGTATTATATTTAAGTATTGATATCTCTTAACTGATACATGTCTTTATATCAGGATTCATTTCAGTGGATGAGGCTTTTTTTCCTTGTCCTTAAATCTAAAAATCTCAATATTAATTGGTTTACAGAATAATAAAGAATCTGTAAATCTTTTGAGTTGATTTTCAAAACACCATTGAGAGGCTGGAATAACATAAACTTTCATAGAAAAGCTACTGTTAATTGACATTAGAGTGGGACAGGATTTGGTGGGTTTTCTCCCCAGTATATCCAGTGGATATGTGGGGATTTTCCCATTTAGTTAAAATAAGATCTGTAATTTTATTTAAGCTAATTTATATGAAAATATTTAAAGTTGTTTATGAACTATTAGAAAAAAGATAGTTACGTTAATATTTTAAACTAAGTGTTTATAAGCCCTTCTATAATTATCTCTCACATTTAGGAGCTTGCATTCGTCTTCGGGACCCTGAACTTGCTTTGGCTATTGAATCTTGCTTAAAAGGACTTCTACAAGCCTATTGTTGCCATGATCATAAGGATGAAAGAGTACTTCAGTCACTAATGAAAGGGTTTTATTCACCAGGGACCTCTAGGCCACAGATAATAGTTTCTGAATTTCAGGAAGAGATGCATGATGTAAAAAACAGGTAAGGCATCAGTAATTAAATTACTGTTTCTGGTTTTGCTTAATCATATGTAAGATTGGAAAGTTAAAACACTTTTAATGTTAGCCATATATATCTTTACTACTGATGTTTAAATTTGAAGTCACTTTAATTTCAGTCTATGCATTGTTTGTAGGTATTGGAGAAACACAGATAAACAGAGATATCTCCTGTACTTGAGGTTCTTACAAGAGGTCTGTTGTGAGACAGTATAGGAAAACAGATGTAGTGTGAAACAGAAATTATACCTGTGAGGGAAATGATGCAGACCTCACTGAATTAAGAGGGAGGTCCTGAGGAAGAACACTGGCACTCATTACCCCAGTTAAACTCATGAGGTGTTTCACAGAATCCGTAAAGAGCTATGATGGTTTGCTTTGATGGCCCTTACAAACCCTCTCAAGGGCATAGTACCCAAACTGGCCTCTTTGCTAACTGCTGGTTAATCACTTTAAAAATAGGTGTATATATCTATTCCTAGATTGCATTTTAAAGTTTCTTTTATCTGTCATCTCTGTTTTTTCTTATAAATCCTATTTCTTTTTTTTT